TTGCTGAAATGACCGTCATGTTGATAATGGTTTATATTTCATCATTGCTCACTATTGATCAATTTTCAAAAGTTTCTGGTGTTTCTGCCACTCTGGTACATGGGTGGATTCGGCAGATAATCCATTACATCTCTGTTCTGTTGAGAACTTGCACCAGGTAGCTGCACTTGCTAGCTTTGAAGCCAAGTACGGACAGTTAAGAAAATGTAAAAGCAGTACTATTGATCAAAGAGACCAGCAAAAGATAGGTCTTCCTCTTCAGCCCATTATACAATGGCATGCTTGTCTTTTGACAGCACTTCCAGATCCCTGCCAGGCTGGCTCGCTTCTGTCCTTCAGGAAAATAGAAATCAGGGATGTGATGGATCACTTACTTGGTGCAGTGTTTGAGCAACAGAAATAGACTTACAGTAAAGCACTGTAAAAGTGCTTTACTTCAAAATCATCATTGTCTGCTTCAGTTAGAATGTACACAGCTCGATAGTTTTTGTTTGTTTGTTTTTAAGAAAGTTAGAAAAACTTACGGTCAGTAAATTAAATCCTTTCAGTTATTTCCAGTAGGAAATGTCTGAACCTAATTAAGAACACTTGCAGATTGAGGGACATTAAGTCCAATAGGTATTCATATTTGTCATTGTGGAACATCTACTCATTTTCAAGTCTATTAACTTAGTAGTTGGATTTTTGAGGACATTTTTGAAATATCTTCTTAGAAAATAAAAGGGCAGAAAAAAGGCTTTCAGTGCTAATTGCCATTATATGATTAAAATGCACAAATAAAATGAACTTTAATGGAATTATCTCATGTACGTTGTACTGATTTTTTTTTTCTTTTTGTGGATAACTGATAGAATTTCACTGTTCAGTATCTCACGTTACACTTCAGTTATGTGATATATTGGTAGTTATGAAAACAGCTAACAACAGTATGCCTAGCAGCATTGTTGCAAAGTAGCCATGCTGCAATCTAATGGTCTCTGAATTTCTTCTCAGTTAGAAGCTTGTTGTTTCCTGATGCATCCTTTCAAAATGTAAACTGAGCGCTTTGTAGTCTTCTGCATGCACGCAGATCATATATAAAGTTAATAAATTATGCATTTGAGGAAAAACACTGGTTAAATATCCTTATCTGATTAAGCCATATAGAAAGTTCTGAATAGACTTGAAATCTTAACTTTGTGACAAGCAACTATTTAATTGCAGAATAACGCACAGATAGTGTTTGATTTATAATCCCCATCACCAGTTGAAATGTTGAGGACCTGCATGACTAGTGAGAACAAGAACAGTCCAGCATCTGCATTATACAAATAATGCTTTTGTATTTCAAAACATTACTAAAACATCAATGCCTGCATAATTTAAATTTGCTACTGTCATGAATGTACGTTTTACTTAACAAAGCACATGCTAATGCAAAGTTGTTTTGTTTTCAGAGTGATTATGTTGCATTACCATTAATTCATGTGTGCACTGTGACAAGATGTAATGGTGTATCATGTTGCTTTAATGTAATGAATCCAGTACTCCCAGCTCTTAAGTCGTGTTGCTGGAAATGATTACATAAAACAGAACGACTGTGACTAAAACCCTTGCAAAGCTTTAGAACTCCTGCATATTGTAAGAAGCTTTTTTTGTTTCATTTTGTGGGGGGGAGTTCAAGGTGACTTAAAATTGTTCTGAAAACTTCCTTTAGTATACTACCATTTTACTCTTTTTAGACTTTATTTACATTCCACTGAAATTTGCATTGTCTTTTAGAGCATTGCAAGGTCTGTGCTATAATTTTGTGCAGATGTGTATGTTAAGTGAACATGATGTGCTTATTTGTTACATTTATGCTACTTTTCTTTCTTTATCTGGGTAAGATGGATGAAATTATGTATTAAATAAAAACCATCAGTGATTTAGCCATGACCATTCTCTTCAGGTCCTATAAGACTGCAAACACGCATTTTAAATTAACAGGATTGCAAAGGTTTCTAAGTATCATCTAAATCTCAAAACTCTAAATCCTTAAAATAGCTAAATCCCATTCTGTTCTGAACAACATTCCTGGAAGACTTTTCTCTGACTTGCTGTTCCTCGAGTAGAAAGTTCACCATACACTCACACTCATTTGAGGAAATAAGGATAGTATAACTTATAAGAATGACTTCACTTCTGAGAAAGCATCTTGTCTTTCACATTTCCATTTTTGTTAACTTTTCTTTAGGTTTAATCTTTCTGGTAGATAAACATAGCACTTGAACTGCTGCAGCATGTAATTTAGTTCACTTATGTAGCCAGGAAAACACTTAAAGGGCTTACATTTTTACACAGATCATTCATGTTCTTATGGTTATGCAACTGGAACTGTCATTTACAAATTGAGTGGGATTTTTTTTTTAAGACTGTAGTGAGACAGTTTACCATTACAAAGATCAAAATAAAGAAATTAAGGGAAACCTCTTTTTTCTACAGTAGCCACGTCACAGTCTGTCTTGTTGCTGACAATATCATCTTACTTTTTTTTTTGACCTTAAGTAACTTTCAAAGGAAGTTGGGTTGCTTTTTTAAATAAGGAAACTGTATTCGTAGCAATGACATTTATGGTTAGAAATGATTAGTATAATGCACCAGTGTTCAGCCATAGACTATGCTTCATATTGATTTTTAGTCTCTGCCCTCAAGCTGTGTTTGAGTGAAAATGATACATTAAATATGTAATTAGATTCAACAGTATTTTTAAAATATTTTATCTGTAATCCATAAGAAGTTACTTTTAATTGGAAATATTTTAATACATAATTCTTCCTACTAGACTGACAAAGATGAAAATATCCAAAATAAATTTGTGTTGTTCGTATTACATTTTTTTTGTTTGTGTATCTGTATGCATGCACACTGGGCCTTGTTGCAGTGATCTGCTATGCCTGTATATAGCTTACAATTCTGAAATATTTTCAAGCAAATGCCCAACTTAAGTGATTCAGGTGAGGGTAGTGGGGCTTTTTTACATCCTTAAAGCTGACCACATATTTAAGCTGCTTTTGGCTGGAGAAAAATTTTTATTCTGAGCAGTAGCCATGTTAAGTTATTTAAATAACTATAATTGATAACAAAGGATCCAGAGACACTGGACATCCTAGCCCAAATGAGAAATCCTGTATAATATCAGATAAATACTTTGTAGGGGCTGGAGAAGAAAGAGGTAAGAGTGGAGGATGCAAATAACTTTCATGAATAGGGCAGCTATTTCAAATAGTGACAGCTGCTGCCTGTCACTAGTGGCTGGAGTGGGTGGCATTTTCTATCTATCAATGGTAGCAGTCTGCAGCTCTAAGTAGCTTTGTGAAGATCACCTTGCCTGGACCTACGTATGGTTCCAGCAATATTGCTTTCATGTTATTAAGCAACTGACAGAAGATGTTTTCATAAAATTCTGATATTTTTGTAAATAGGCCTTTGTTGGAAAAATGTGTGAGTGGTAATGTTTTTAATGTACCAAAGATTAAAAAAATCTTTTTAATATTGTATAATTTTATCTGTTTTGATATTAAGTTTGTTTCCAAACCACCTCAATTTACTTAAAAACAAAACAAACAAACAAAAAATCTTCATGATGTCAATGCTGAAATCTGGTCATTTAAAATTCAGTGAATTCTGAGGAAAGTCTCATCTACTGAATTTCTTTTCTTCATATGCAGCCACAGGGATGATCTGTGGAGACCATCAAAGTTAATGTGAAAAATTGTTTCTATCGTTGTTAAGTATAACTGTATGCATTTCTGCTAACACTACCTTACGCTTCAATCACTATGATTGTATTTGAATTCAGTAAAGGAGTGGAGTCTTGACAGCCAATTTTAGACAGCTCTCTTTCTATAAATGAAATCTGTGGGCATTTTGGAGTGGAGATTTGCTCTTATGCTCAAAGATGAACCGTGATTTGCTGAAAAATCTGATATTGCATTATGTTTCTTCAATTTCTGCTCTCTCAAAAATAAGTCTAACGTGTTTCAGTGCATATAACATTTAATGAATTACTACCTGGAATCCTGTCAGTTGAGTTACTCAGGTAGATAAATAAATAAAAGTTTAGTTTCCTGCCAAAAGCAATATCAGTGTTTGGTTCTGCATAAAATACAGCAAGCACTCTTAAAAAGCTAAAGTATCAGGCTGAGTACCAGGAAGCTTGCTTTCTTTTGGAAACTGAATGACTCCCACTGCTCCCAAGTGTAGGGCATGCACCTACTGATCAACACTTCTTTTTCTCATTGTAGTTTACACCTGTTATGATGCAGGATAATAGCAGGAAGTAGGGATCTTGTCTAGCAATTTGTAATAGGAACATTCACTCAGAGTCTGGTAAATTGGAAAAATTATTCTACCTGTCTCCTATGGAGAACATGCCAAAAACATCTACAACTCTCCAATACCAAGAGCGTGATAAAGCAGGATGGGAGAGACTTATTCATGGAACTTTGAGTTGCAGAGCTTGGTGCCTGTGGACAGATCATTGAAATGTTAACTGAGAAAAAGACAAACTGCAATACTCTGTCCAGTGTAAATGTGACTTGTATGAGCTTTGTCGTATCTTTGGTTTATGTATATTAAACACTTATTTTCCATGTTTAAGTCTTTCACCAAAATAAGGATATTTACTCAGTGATAAATAAAAATTGTTTTATGGTATCACTTTTGAAAATAGGAATAGAGTCTGCATGTGTGTTTTTGTCACTGGTTCTCTGCTTCTTAGCATACGTTCCAACATTGTTGAACAAAAATTTCAGTGAGTCTTGGGATTTTTTCAACTTTTTTTTTCAAGAGATCTCAGATCAATGCTTTTTCTTCAAGTATTTATTTGTAGACTTTTTAGATGTCACTCCGTTCTTCTCTCAATATACAATTTATTTATGTATGCAACAATTACAAAAGATGAGAATGTTTGTGTTGTATAAGTTCAGTTCCTACTGAAGGATGTTACAAATCTCTCTGCGTCTGTTTGAATTTCACAGATTTTTATCCTTCATTGGAGGAAACACAAATGAAATAGGAAAATCGGATATGCAGCAAAAAGTAAATGCAGTAATTCAAAAGGAAGGACTGGAAGGGACAGCCAAAAGGCTAAATACAACGGTGCACACGTTGCAGCTAATCATTGATGGTCTAACTCAGCCTGAAGGCTTTGACATCCGAACAGGTAAAAACTCTTAGAGGGCCGTAATCTCTTTTCAGTTGTTCATCTTACTAGTTTTAAATCAGTGTGTTTTCATCTTCTAAAGTCAGAGGTAGACTTTCATGAATGGGGAACTCTTTTTTTCTCAGATAGAGAAAAGACTGTATCATAGTCAGGTGTTTTGTTTCCATATCAGTAAGTAGGGAGTGTGAATCCTGTCTCAAATCATGGCCTTTTCAGACATAGGAAGAGGGAGTTATATGGCTGTTAACGAATTAAATAGTTTCAATATGTTGACTCAATACTGATTAAATCTGTGTTGGTTTTCCATCACAAGAAGAATGCTGCTGAAACAGTAATAATAAAGGTCTGTGGAGCAGTAGTGTACTAGAGTGTAGTTCTGCTTTTATTACACTCGTTCTTGGAGACAAAAGTAATTGCAGCATACAGCTCGTGACACACTTGAGTTAAAACTTTGTGGTAGTGCTGAACAGTTTAAGGTGGTGGGGAAAGAAAGGTGAAGTAGGCAGTATAGTAAAACATCTGGAGATGCTGTTTAATGAAGCTTATGGTAGCAAGAGATAAAGACAAGACAGCAAAGATACAGGTATGTAATAACAAACCTATGCTTAAAAAGGTAACATTTTTGTCTACTTTTTTGGCTTCATGAATAGTTTCCTTGTAAGTTTTAGAAATATTTCACAGACTCACAGAATGGCCTGGGTTGGAAGGGACCTCAAGGATCATGAAGCTCCAACCCCCCTGCCACTTGCAGGGCCACCAACCTCCTCATTTAATGCTAGACCAGGCTGCCCAGGGCCCC